CTGAGCCTGACTGCTTGGTTGAAGCAGCCACTTAAAGAACTGAGCTAAGGGGCAGGCACCCTCTATGGCTTTTTCAACCAGGCTTTCTTGATGTTTTTTATCTTGTTTTGTTTGTAAGTAGATTTTCTCTTCTTAAATGTGTAGAAGGAACCCCATGTATTAATCAGATTGTACCATTTGCAATCTTAACCTTCCTTGCCTCCCTTGGACCTAGCCAAGTCTCTTTGTTTTGTTGTCAGATACAAGATATTGCATTTATTTTTCTTTAATTTATTCTTAGTGGTTTCCTCCCACATGAACTTTGGTTTTGAGCACATTAATTTTTCACATGATTTTATGTCATCTTCATATTGAAAAGCATATGGTCTCTGTTTTTATTGAACTCATTGTTTAAAACTCTGTTGGAGAGGGCCAGAGACTTTCCTTCCAGGATGACAGTGAAGTTTATTCTCATGTGGCTTTTCATGTGGTCATGGGTCCGGCATAATCTCACTCATTCCATTTTTCTTTAGCTGTCTTTGGCAAGACACAAGATACTTTGCCAGACTTGTTAAAAATCAGGAAGGCCCCCTATGTATTTGCTTAAATAGTAAACTTGTCTTAAAAGGAAGCAAGGCCATTTTGGCATAAATTGTTCATAATGACCCTCATGATAATGACTAATTTTTTTTAATAACATCTCTAATACTTGTCCTGAGCCAGTGATTCATTATAGAAAATGTTCATGACATGATTTTCTTCCTCTCTAAAATGTATTATTGATGGAGGTGGAAAAACCTCCAAACTCTCAAGCAGCAGCATTGATAAAAATAAACCGAAAAGTTGGAATCCTAAAAGCAGGAAACCTGGTAGCTCTGCCTGGAATTGTGTACCTGGGATAACTGTTCTCTGAATAGCTCCCCAGCCCCATCCAGAGTGCCAGGAGGCACGAAGGGCAGGATGGTACAATGACACAGCGGGCCTGCTTGTTCTGTGTACATTGGACTTGGACTTTGGACTTATATTTGGCTTCCAAATACTCATGTAGGTATGGAAGAGCTTTTGAAAACTTGAAGAAGTAGTTGCATATACTTAGCATTTTTTAGTTTTATAAATTTGAGGATTATCTAGACTGAATAGTGAAGACAAAGATAGATTACCAGTGAGAAAGAAGAGCTGTCAAGGGGGTGGGTAGAGAAAGGAAACTGTGGAATCCCAGAGACATTTCATTAAGACATTTTTTTAAGGAAAAATATCTGTTTCATCTTAGAAAATATATTACCTCCCACCTAATTTTATTCTTTTTTTAAGATGAGTAGAATGATCTTGTTTCTGTTGCAGGCTTTTATATTTGAGGGGGACGTGACCTATAGAGAGTGGATGATAAAGGAAAGAGAGGGTAAAGAATCAGGGAGAGGAGCGGAAAGAAAGGGTTAGAGTGGGAGAGGTTGGGAGGAAGCCTAATGCCTCACTGGGCCTGCCCGCCCCTGGGCTCCCGGTCTTGCTTATATGTAGACACTCAGGACGGACCTGAGGATTCTGATCACAGTCGTGGGGTTAATCTGTGAGCTGTAAACACTGGTTAGTTAATCCTGAGTTTGTTGGCTTTTTTTTTTTTTTTTTTAATCACTGTGATTTCTATGCGAGAACTTTACCAGCTACAAAGTGCTATAGAAGTTATATAAGAGGGACCGAGTTTTTTTAGTGTAACAGTTTGTCCAGACTCCCCTCCCTGGCCTTATATTCTCTCATTTATTCCCACATTTTTAGTTTCTCCTTTATCACAGTGTGACTTACTCTCCTTCCTAGGACTCTTGGCTATTTTTTTCTTGCTGAGACAATACCTGACACCCAAAATCAGAGAAGGAAAGGTTTATTTATTTAGCTCACAGTTTGTGGAGGTTTCAGTCCATAATCAGCTGGTTCCAAGGCAAGGCGGCCTGGAACAGGGGCAACAGTTCAAGTTGGCAGATGGTGGCAGAAGACAGCAAATATGACAAGAGCACAAGGTGGGGGTGCAGCAAGCCTCTTTTTTTTTGCCTTACGTTGTATGTTGGCTGTCTCCCCATGCTTACACTCTGTCTGGGCCCTCTTCTTCCACAAGCTGAGGATATTGACAAAGTAAGGACCCTGAGTCACCCAGCTAAATCACTTAGTTGAACTTCGAAACTTCTCAAGTTGACACAGTGGACAACATCCTAGAGCAGTAGGGCATGTGCTCCACTCTCCAGGATAGAGAACTGCTGAGTTACTTAGTTAAGCTTCTAGACGCCTCATGTTGGCCCAGTGTATCACCCATACACCAGGCCTCACCTAGGGCTCTCTTGTCTTTCTAGATGTTAGCTTTTTAGTCCAATTAAGGATTTACAGGATAAGGCCTGGCACCTCATCTCTTCTCCTTCAGCCATTGTATTTGACCAGCTTTTGGGACAGTGTTTCTCTAGGGTTCTAATGTTAAAAAATGCATTTTAGAGTTTAGTTTTGAATCAAGTTGACAATGGGGTGGTTTTATTCTTAAATAGGAAATGTGGATTCATTGGGTTAGTTAGAGGTTGAACAACCTTATGCAACGTGCTTGGGAGCAGAAATGCTTCAGATTTTGGATTGGGGGTGGATTTTGGAGTATTTGTATGGGCTGCATTGACTGAACATCTAAATTCTTCAGAATCTGAAAGCTTTTGAATGTTGGCATTCTAATCTGAATGTTAATTTGAACCCTGGTGCTTCAAAAGTTTCACATTTTGAATTTTCAGCTTGGGGGTGCTCAACAGCTTTATTAACAAGTCCCATTCTTCATTTACACTTAAGTGCAAGTGAACTCCAGTAATCCTCGCATTTTAGTAGTCTAGGAGTTGGCATATGGTAGCCCAGTGGCCAGTCTGACCTTCACCTTGATCTGTGTGCATTCCTTTTTGTATGGGCTTTATCTGCTTTCCTGCTTCAACAGCAGAATTTAGTTACTGTGATAGAAGTAGTTGGCTTTACAGAACCTAAAGTGATGTGCTATCTTACTTTTCACATAAAATGTGTGCTGATCCCTTTTCTAGTGGAGTACAGTAGACCATTCTGGAAGAGTGGGTTCTTCAGCAAGAATCTGGTGTATGTGTGAATTTTCCATGGCTATCATCTTCTGGGGAGGCCCTTCATATTTCCTTTGAGTACCATGACTTCTGTGTCAGGAATACACCACAAATGACTTATAGTGAAAGGCTTCAAGTATCAAGACTTCTGACTAACTAGACTAAAAATCATAGTGATTTTTTTTTTATTAAAGTGCTTTTAAAATTTTTCCCCTTTCTTTTCTCTGTTCCTTTCTCCTACCCACCACCTAAACAGGTTTAAATTCCTCAGCAACGTCTGTAGCAAGTAATGCCCGTCGGGAAGGAGAGCTCCAACTTGGAGACAGAGTCTTGGTGGTAGGGCAGAGAGTTGGCACTATTAAGTTCTTTGGGACAACAAATTTTGCTCCAGGTAATTAATCTGAGTGGGTGGGCTTGCTTGCCTTCTTGCTTTCTTTTGCTCACTTTGGTTCCTTAGAATACAAAAGATTTAAAATTTTACAGGTAAATAAAATTTAACTGTACAGAATTCATGATTAACATGAATTCATTAATAACACGATTATTCTGTGGATGATAGTAGTGACACAGAAAACGTGAAAGCAGTGTACGGACTCCGATTGTTTGTATTCAGATGAACACGAATTTCATTGCCAATTACAGAAATTTCTCTTGCTAATTATGGTTTCATTTGTCTAATTTAAAATTAGTTGTTACTTCCCAAGTCTGTGTTGGTTGCCAAGTGTGCTAAATGATAATGAAAACATTTTAGGATGAGTGTATTTCCAAAGGTAGCTTTAAGATGAACAGGTAATGAGGTAACTATAGCTTTTATGGGGTGCCTTGAAGGGGATAATGAAAACAATAGAGTTTTTATGGATCCTGGGACCTTCAAAATACATATTTTTGGGTTTAGATATTAATCCCAGTATATACGTAATGTATGTTTCCAAAAATAAAGACTACTTTTTTTTTTTCATTTTCAGAGATTATAATTTTCAATAGCCAGTTGAATGAAATCATGTTTGTGTGTTTTAAATAGCAATATGCTATTTTAACACATGGTGGCATTGCAGCATTTTAGGGAAAGGTTACTTAGAACATTGATTAAAGGAACCAACAATAGCAAGTCTGTAGTACAGAATGCTATGAATAACTGCACAGGATCTGAGAATTGATTCCCGTTTGCAGCTAGCAAATTAGCCTGCCACAGTTGCACAGATGTTGGTGGAAGATGTGAGAGTCCTACCCAGAGACAAGGGACCTTCAGAACCCCAGTAACACCCGTAGCCCGAGTGTTAGCATTTTCCTGCCCAATCCCTGAGCCCAGCATGGCGGGGCAGACGGGCAGGTGATGCCTGCATACCCAGAAGGCCATGCTCCAGAGGAGGAGCCCTGAGCTTAGGGAATCCGAACCCTTTTGGCCAGTGTGCCTGCCTTTTGCTCTGGAAAAAGACTTATCTTTGTCCTCCAAGGGTGTCCTCTACACAGCCATCTAGGGAAAGACAGTCTGGAGCCAGGTAATGAGTACCTCCTGCTGTGGAGAACTGTCCTACAACACATTCCTGCATTAATACCACTTTCTTATTGTAAGCCCATGAATCGAGATGGCTTCTGTGTTGTTTGTAATTCATGACTTCCTTAGATCCTCCATGAAGTGATTGAGATTAGTTAGGACATACTAGGAGTAAGTCCATGTATTTTATTTTGGTGGAAAGAATAAAAGTAACGTTTCCTCTTCAGTTTTAGGCTCTGTAGAAGAAGATATCCTATTTCCTTTTCTCAGGCTGAGAAACTTTAAATGCTAAAAGTTATCTAGGTTTAATAGGAAAATTCTTCCTATTAAAAAAAAGAAAATTCTTCCTATTCGCTAGCGTAAATATTTCCATTTAAGTTAAAAATGGTTTTCTTTCCATCTTGATCTAAGGGAGACAAGAGAGAGAAACCAGAGTCACCATGGCGTCTAGCAGTGTTTCCTGTGTCATCTTGGCCTGTTAGTTACTTATGAACTGTTTCTGGTGTCGTAATAGTGGGAGAATGAAATGAAACGATCACGTGTTCATTTTATGATTTATACATGAATCACATTACACGTCTCTCATTGAAATACTATTGGAAAGTCAAGGGCAGTTTCTTTTTCATTACAGTTTTAAGATACATTTTGGTTGTATTCTACTTGCGTAGAGCTAATCCTTTGCATATTTGTGTTTGTGCATTTTATTTTCCTTCTTTAATGTACTGCTTTGCAGTTACGCTGGTAACATTTTTTTCCCCCACTTTTCAAATTTTCAAGTTTTACTTTATAATTTTATCACTTGAAAGCTTAACGAACGTGATGATTTTCCATCATTATGGTCATTTGTGAAAATGTGAAAACCTCAGACTCTGGGTTCGTATAACAGTAAAACGGTTTTGAATAAAGTGCTGATGCTTTTATCATTCAATATTCATGTTCTAGGATATTGGTACGGTATAGAGCTTGAAAAGCCCCACGGCAAGAATGATGGCTCAGTTGGAGGTGTGCAGTATTTCAGTTGTTCTCCGAGATATGGAATATTTGCTCCCCCATCCAGGGTGCAAAGGTGAGAAAAGTGGAACTTGGGTTGATCTGCATGAACTTTTTGTCACTGGCAGTGCGCAGGGAGGTTCCAGTTTTATCTGGATGACGCTCCACTTGCTTTCCAGGGGTTAACCAGCCACAGGGAAGGTGCACGGTAGCTAAATTTTCCTTGCTGAGGATTTTCAATTTTAAAAACCTCCTTCCTTCCTCATTTGCAAGCCCTCTGAGTGTGTGTAGGCTATTAGGAGTGGTGTGTGCAGCTAAGAACAGTGAGAGCAGCAAGCATCATCTGTCATCCAAACAAAAGTAAAAATGCTCTCTGATTGCTTCAGTCACATCCTAACTACATTAAATTTCCTGCCAGCAGGCACCCATTCATTCTCCTCCAAACCTAATGGAACCAAAATGACTCTTTCCCTCTGATTCCTTCAGTTTTCAAAAATAGGCAGGCAGTCGATCTTTGGGGGAAGTGAAGTTTCAAGGATTAAATATAATAAACCTCTTCGGTGCTTCTTTGTAAGATAGTACACTTAAGTATCACTTGGTTTTAAAAAAACAAGTTGAGCAGAAACAAGTCCTCATGAAAATCTGGGTGCAGTGGGAAGTGCCTTTTCTTACATGCCGGAAGAAGCAGTGTGGTGCGCTTCTCAGTGACTAGGAAGTGGAATAGTGGTTTTCAGATGAGAGATACACAGGTAGTGTAATTGGATTCATGAGAGTAGAACTGGGAGTGGCATCAGGTTTCCTAACAAGATCGTGTCTGTGTCTGGGCAGATTAAAGTTTTTAATATCCATGTTGTTCCTCAGTTTGTTTGCCAGGGAAGCGCTTATTCCACTGAGCCATCTCCCCGGCCCCTAACGTCCTTCTTTTAAGATATATTTCAGACTGTTTTCTTCTTCATTGCAGTAGAACATTCTTATGCAGTGCTTTGTAGTTCCTCACTTCAGTGTCCTTTCCTTTGGTCAGGTAAGCTGGAACAGAACCGTAATTATTACACATATCTGTTAGCATTTAGCTAGCAGTAGGCTGTCTACCTGTCCTTCAGCTGCCTGTCATTAGCCCTCCTCTCAGGCCTAGGCAGCCATGAGCTATTAGGATCATTCCCACTTTGCAGGTAAAAAACAGGTTTTGAGAGAAAAAGTAACTTAGCTAAAGCCATCTGGCTAGTTAATGGAGGCGTGTGGACTAAGCCCAAGCTTGTTACTTAATTATTGCTTTTTTCCCTCAGCTCACTTTGCTCATTTGTATTTGTTAAATGACAGAAAGGAGATGCCGGCTAAGGAGTGGCACACATGGGAGAGGGTGCTGTTTTCCGCACTGGCAGTGTGGTAGCGGTTCACTCTCCACAGCCCTGGGTCTGAGCCCTGTTCTGCAGATGAGGAAAGTATGGCCTGGAGAGGCGACAGGGTGGCATGTGTGTTCTTCTGCAGAGCCCCGTGAGGCATGTGGAGCTCCCACACCTCTCCTCAGGACCGGAGTCTTGCCAGTGCCTGAGAGGGCATCACGTCCTGCTGAGTCACCCGCCAGGTTCTGTGTGCGCCGTTTCTCAGGTGCTCGCGTGCATCTTCAGCACACTGCCACAGGCTCCGCCAAGGCCTTCCTGCTGCTCAGGAGCACGCGCTGGGATTCCATCCGTGTTTGATTACTCAGAGAACACAGCTTGGCGTGTTGTAGGCACAACGCACATTGATAAGGTCCGATTCCCAGTTGAGTGCATTCTGTTCTGGAGCAGCCTTTTCTCTTCTCTTGTGCAGCCATATTCTTCCTCATGGTTTCATTTTTTCCCCTTGCTTTGTTTAGGGAGTCTTTTATTTTTCACTTTGTGTTTTGTTTGCCTTCTATTTGGTCTTCTTTAAGGTGGTGCGTTTGAAAGCAGCCCCCTGTTCTTACAAGAAACCCGGCTCTCTAAACGAACTGCTATCGCAATCCAGCTGTCTTCCTGTCATCTTCTGATTGTCTCATTCATCATCATCAAATACTATTAAGTGTCTTTTAGCACTTTGTGCTGTGTTAGGCATTCTATAAACAAATAAAGAGACATGGTCTCTGATTCTGAGGAGTGTCTAATCCAAACCAGTTTTGAGCTTTCTAAAGACCTTGCTGATCTTAGAAAAGATTTTAAACTGAGTACTGCTTGAAGACAGCTTTAATGAAATGATAACAAAGTATAGTCTCACCTTGTATTTTCTCTTCCTCAGAATTGTCAGTGACCTTTTGTTTTCTCTCTTTCTATTTTTCAAAATGTGGCTCCTATGCCAGAATCTTTGTGCATATTATTTCCTGTCTGTTTGGATGACTTCTAGACCTACCATGACCCCATTTTCATTTCATTAATGCCTTTATGAGGTTAATATATATGCCAGCATTTTTTTTTTTTTAGAAAAATGATAATAAAACTTAGTGAGTAGACCAAGTCAGATCCCTCCCTTTCTGCTCCTTTTCCTTTCCCTGGTCTCCACAGCCTCCACCCTCAAGCTATCTTTAGTGAAGCATAGTACTTATTTTCTTAGTTCTTACCATTAGGCACTTATTTCTAATGAGCTGATCTTCTCTAGAGTTAAGCCTCTCTCCGCTGTCACTTCAGGTATCTGTCTTAGTCATCAGATCATACTCTTTGTGTCTGTGTGTCCCTTCTTGATTGTGTTGTGCTGTGGATATGTACAGAGGAAGCCCATGAATTTTGAAATAAAACTGCAAATGCTGTAAGAGTTGGAGGAGTTCTTGGTGAAAACAAATTAGATTGGAAAAGGTGATTGACAAATGAAGGTCTTGCAGATTTAGGTCAGCAAACAGTTGGAAGGAAATGAGGCTGTCGGGATCGGCTTTGTAGAAGTAATGATTTGAATACAAAAAAAAAAAAAATGAAGAGAAACTCCTTGGCAAGATGAACTTTATGATTGTGCTTAGAGTCAAATATAAAGGGCCTTGAGCTGTGTTAGATACAGCTTTATCAGAAAAATCAGACTTATACAAACTTGGCCAGTATATGTACCAGTTTAAGAATTAGTGATGTTTTCACAGTTTTGATTGCACATGTGGTGCATTTAATGTAAAATATACTTATTTTAATAAGGCTCCAAAAAATAAAATAAAATCAGGTCCTTATTTTTAAAGGAAGACATTTTAAATTTACTTTTTTCCTATATTATTTTACTTACCTCAGGACCTGTTCATTGATTCTTGCCTGCTTCCCATGCTCGATTGAATCTTACTCCTGGCTCTTGGAGTGCTCAGTAAATACTTGTTGAAGGAATGAAATAGAAACTGGTGTGGAAGCCTCGATTAAGAGGCAGCTGTATGTCCAGACGCCAGCTACTTCTAATGAGGCGTGCTTTGTTTTGTTCCTAGACTGTCGGATTCCCTGGATACCCTTTCAGAAATTTCTTCAAACAAACAGAATCATTCTTATCCTGGTAAGATGACACATACTGTGCTCCTAATAAACATTTCTTTGTTGTCATTCATTGAAAAATTGTATTGTGACGTGTGTCTGTCTCTATCTAGTTGAGATATATTTGCATAGTTTATGGAATCACAGAGCAAACATCTTATGTCCACCTTCAGTTGAAGATGATCTCTGGTGTTGTAGAAATCCCTGAGTACCCAGCCCTGTCTCATCTACTTTCCTGTTCATATATCCCATATATATCAATAAACACTATGTGTTTAGTTTTGAGTATTTGCTGCTTTATTATTTAGCATTCAGTTGAGATATATGATGTATTTTGTAGTTGATGCCTTTCTGAGGTATATCCTGTGTTTGACTGTTGCAGACTATATTGTTGTATGAACATGTATATTCCCATTAGCTGTTGATGCACCCTCTGTCCTCCCTCAGCTCTCCAACATTTCTCTTGCTTGGCCAGGAAATTTTTGCCTATGTTATGTTTATTATTTGTTTGGTTGATTGATTAAGATAGGATCTCACTGTGTTGCCAGGCTGGCCTCAAACTCATAGTAGTCTGCCTCTGCCTCCAGAGTAACCTGAGCTATCTCAGGTTCTGGTCTGTCATTGTGGCTTTGGTTTGTATTTTCCAGAATACAGATGAAGTTGAGTTTGTGTTCAGTCTGTGGGCCGTATACACTTCCTTCACTTACCTGGTCAAGTCTAGCCTACTTTTCTTTTGGGTGCTTACTAGTTTGTACATTTCTTCTTATATTTTGTGTAGTACTATTTTGTCAGTTTTATGTGTTGCAAATATCTTGTTCAGTTAGTGTCCTGACTTGTCTTGTCTTTTCTTTTCTCATCTTGTCTGTCTTTTTGGTGTCTTTTGCTGAGCAGAAGTCTTTAAATTTTATACAGTCAAAAGAGCAAATAAAAAAAAGCAAATGATTGTGTGGCCTGCATTTTTTATGTGACAAAATTTTTCCCTAAGACAAAATCACAAATATATTTTTTATACTGCTCTATAAAACTTTTATACTTTTGTTTTTCACAATTGTCAATTTACTTAGAATTGATTTTTTTTTCTGGGGCTGGCGAGATAGCTTACTAGACTAAACACCCGCTTAGGCAAGCGCAGGCCCAGGGTTCAATCCCAGGCACCACATGCCACACTGGCCTTGTCCTGGGCATGCTGAGCCGGCCACCATGCCTGGGCATGGTGGAGCAGGCCTGTAAGTCCAGAGCTGGAGAAACTGAAAACAGGAGGATCCCTAGGAGTCCGAGCTGCATAGTGAGACCCTGTATAAAAATGCATAAAAAAAAAAAAAAAGAATTGATTTTTGTGTATGATACCTTATGGATCTAATTTAGTTTTATTTTCCATGTGAATAATTACCTGTGGAAGGTTTTTGTATAATGCCAGTCTTTAAATATTTGTTGAGGCAAACTTTTGTGACCTAGGGCTTTTTGCCGTCCTGGGAGACCTGTTGCTTTAATTTGAAGTTCCTGCTAAGGCCCCGTGCTGTATAGGTTTGCTGGGGCTGCCCTGGCTTGTCTTCTGCGGAGGCCACCACACTGCCTTTTCTGTTCCACCGTGTATCAGTGTCCTAGTCTTCTATTTCAATAAAGGTACCCTTCACACTGAGTCAGGACCCTCCCCCACCTCATTTTACCTTAACCACTGAAACCGCATGTGAAAGTGCAGTCACCTTCTGAGGCACTGGAAGTGGGGACTTCATGGAAATTTTGGGGTGCGCAGTCCAGACCCCGGCAGCTGTTGAGCATCTCCGTATGCTTACTTGCAGTCAGTTGACCTTCTTGATGAAATGTCTGTTTAGTCTTTTGCCCAGTTAAATTGTGTTTGTTATTTTCTCAATGTTGAGTTCTTTCTGTATTTTAAATTCCAGGCCTTTCTCAGTTGAGATCTTTGAAAATGTTTCCTCTCAATTCATGTATCTTGTCATTATTTTAACAGTGTCTTTCATAGAGAAGAAGTTTAAGACTTTAATGGGGTCCAGATTAGTTTTGTTTTTTTTTTTTTCCCTTCTGGATTATGCTTTTGGTATAGTAGGTCTTCACCAAACCCAAAGTCATCCTGATTTTTTTGTTTGTTATCTTCTAGAAATTGTGTACTTCTGTGTTATTTATTTAGATCTGAGATGCATTTGAGTTAGATTTTGTGAGAGGTGTAAGGCCTGTATGTGGATGAGTTTCTTTGCATGTGGATGTCCAGTTGTTGCAACGTCCCTTGTGGAAAAGGTGGTCCTTTCTCCATTGTATTGCCTTTGTTCCTTTCTTAGGGATCAGCTGACTGTGTTTATGTCTATTTATTTGTGGGCTTTCCCCAGATGCATTTCTGTCCCTTCACCACACTGTCTTGACTGCAGTGGCTTTCTGGTATGCTTCAACTTGAGTGGTAGCAATCATTCTACTTTGTTCTCCTTTGATATTGTGTTACCTTTCCATATAAACTTCACAATCATTTTGTTGAAATCCATAAGATAACTAGGATTTTGATTGAGATTACACTGAATATAAAGATCAGAATGAGAAGACCTGAGATCTTATTACTGCATCTATGGACATGGATTAGCTGTCCATTTATTTACGGTAGTCTCTCCTAACCTACAGTTGGTCATTCTATGGGGATAGTTACCCATAGGGAGCTGAACTCTGAAAATATCAAATGAGGAAATTCCAAAACTGAACAATTCAGTGGTGTGATGAACTGTCACCCTGTCCTGCTTGACCTGCCCAGGATATAAATCACCCTTTTAGCCAGAATAACCGTTCACATGAGTGCTGCCCACCTCTTGGTTCTTTAGAGCCCTCTGTGGCTTACCTGATTGACTGCTTCACTATTACTTGACTTTAAGTAATGCTAATTTCACTTAATAATGGGTCCAGAGTATGAAAAGAATAATGTTGGAAATTCAGATATGTGAAAGAGGAAAAGTACTTCCTTAAGTGAAAAGATGGAAGTTCATCCTAGATATGTGTATATGGAGAAAATGTAGCTCTGCGCATGCAGTACTGGATTCAGTACTGTTTGGGGTTTCAGGCCTCCAGTGGGAGTCTCAGAGCACACCCTAAGGATGAGAGTGATGCCAGTGTGTGTGTTTTCTGATTTCTTTTATCAGAATTGTATAGGTTTCCTCACATGGACCTTGTAATGCTGCTTGATTTATATTTATGTCTCTTGTTTTTTGTTGTTGTTATAAATGGTATTGCTCATAATAATTCTTTTTGCCTTATGTCAGCTTGCTTTTGGTTAAGTATTTGCCTGATGCATCTCTTTCTGCCCATTGATTTTGTAACCTTTCCATTATGCTTTTAAACTGTTTCCTAAGTAGAATATAATTGTGTTTTACTTTAAAAAATAATTTGTCCATATTGTTAATATAAAAATTTCACCCATTTGAATTTAATGCAATTACTGATATATTAGTGATAGTAGTTTTGCTATTTTGCTTTCTACTTGATCTATATTTTGTGTATGATAAATGTTTTTCTTCTCTTGACTTCTGGTTATATTCTTACCCACTTTTTATCCATTCCATTAACCTCCTTTTACTTGTATATAAGTTATACTATGAATGAATATTTTAGTAGTTGCCATAGATAACTTAATGTACATAATAATGTCTAATCATTCTTATACTTTTCCAAATAATAGAAAATCTTTATAAGTGCAGTTGTCTTGATTCTGTTTTATATTTCCTGGGTATTTCACATTATCATCAAGTTTCGTACAGTCTTAGTTTATTGAACTTAACTCATTGCATTAGTTGGCTTTTCCATTGCTAGGACACAGTGCCTGATGCCTGCCATGCAAAGGAGGGCCGTGACTTGGCTCGTGGTTCAGGGGATTCAGTTCATGGTTGACTGGCTCCAAAGGAGAGATGTTGTAGCAGAAGAGTGTGGCGGAAGAAGGCTGTTATCAGGAAGCAGGAGGAGGGAGGGAGAGAGGGCTAGAAGAAGAGAGAAAGAAGAGCAGGAGCCGGGGACAAGAATGTGCCCTCCTAGGTTGTGCCCCTAGTGACCCACCTGCAACCAGGCCCCACCTTCAGATCCAGCTCTGGAGGGGAGTATGGCACCCTGTGACCCCATCACCTTCCCAAAGCCCCACCTCTGGACAAGCGCTGGGGGAACATTTTAGGTCTAAACTGTAATCATGTATTGACTAGCGTCTTTATTGATCCCCACAACTTCTACTTGGATCATTTTGTTTTTACCCCACGTGCAATCTCTGGTTTCATTTGCCTTTTCCAGTAGTGTTTTTTTTTGGGGGGGGTTTACAATTTTAGGTTGAAAAATACTGTCTTTCTGAACACCGATATCATGACTCCTTTCTCCAGTTTTCTGACTTCTGTCACTGTGAAACTAATCCCAATTGTTGTGGTGATTTTACATTAAAACATTTTTTTTTTTTTAGCTGCTTTTAAAGAGCCCTCTTTCCTTTGAATTACAGTTTTACTATGATGTTTCTGGGTGGAGATTTTTTTTTTTTTTTGTGTATCCTTTTGGAATCAGTTGTCTTCCTGGATCTAACAATTGATAACTTTGATTAATTCTATAAAATTCTTAGCCATTACATTTTGAATATTTCTCTTGCTTTCTCTTTCTTGTCTCCTTTAGAAATTTTAATTGTGCGTTCATTTCCTATTTTCTTTCCTGTGTCTCCTTTATATGTCTCAGAACTTCCTTTTTGGGTCCCCTTTTGATATCTTCAGAGTCAGACTTCAATGTATTTTCTGATTCTCTCTTCAGTTATGTTATTCTGCTGCTTAATGCAACCACAAATTTATTAATTATAAAATTTTATGTTTTTCTCTTTGCAAACCTGCTTGTTCCTAACCATCACTTATTTGTCCACATTTTCAAGTTCATCTGTGTCTTCAAAAGCCTCAGGTCATTTGCTTTGTATGAAGTAAGTCAATTTCTTAAGTTTTGTGAGTCTGATTCTGCCATCTGTTTCTGTTAAGCCCACCTCATGGCGCCTTCTTTCCTTGTGATTTTTGTAATGCATTATGGTGAGATGCTTATCTTACTCAGAATTTTGCAGATGAGAATTCTCCAAGGCCTGTGTCAATGCCTCCAGAGATTGTATTTACTTCTGCTAGTCACCTTCAAGCACTGCCAACCTGAGACTACTTTAATTTGTAGTCTCTGCAATCTTTTTTATTGTACAAATAACGTGAATTCAACTCACGGTCACAAATCGTGAGGAGAGAAAACTTTACCTTGTGCTGAGCATGAAGGTGAACACAAGCCACTTTGCTTTCTGTTCACTGAAACCATGTTTCCTTTGTTTCTCACAAGGAATCCCCTGAGCACGCACTCCTCTCATCAGGAGTCTTCTGGGAGAGGCCTCCGGGCAGCACTGAGCAGCCAGCAGGCAGGGTCCTCGCCCCGAGGAGGAGCAACCCTGTCATTCATGCTAGCATATTGCTTGTGGGCTGCTTCAGCTCTTGTGGTTTCTCTTTTTATTTTGGAGCCTCTGGGAATGGTGCTATTTTGTCAGTGTAACAGTATTTTCTTTTCAAAACTTACAGTTGTAGTAGATTCTCTTCCATCAAAGGTTTCTTTCAGCACATCTGCCCATTCCTCTTTAAAAATTTAACTGCTGTGAAGTCTTTTTCAAAAACTTTTTATGGTCATCATAACAGCTATGAGTTCTGAAGCTTATTGTTAAATGCTTTATAAATGGTATCTTTAATGATAATGTTTTAAAAACTATTGTACCCTTTATTTCATGTGATTATCAAGAGTGTAAGATTTTAATTATAATAAGTAGAATAAGCTTTATCAGTATATAATTTCATTTTATTATATTTTTCAAGAAATCAGAGTAAAATCTCCAGAGGTAATCTTAATTTATTCCTATATGCATGTAGCTTGATCAGGAAAGTAAAAATAAAAATCTGTCAAGAAATCTAAAGTACAGTTATGTTTTGTACACGTGCTTGCCTTTCTCCAAAGAAACCTTCAGTATCTTAGAACATTTATAGAAGAGATGATAAAAGAGAACTTTCAATAAGAACTGAAAATGTGTGGGTTATGTCTCCTCTTCTAACCTGAACTTTCATATTTAGGTTTTAGGAGAAGTTTTAGCACAACTTCTGCTTCTTCCCAAAAAGAGGTTAACAGGAGAAATGCATTTGCCAAGTGAGTATTGAGAAGATTTAGAAAAGCGCCTTTCAAGATGAACATGACGAGAGTCTGTGAAAGAAGAGAAGTGGAATTCTTATCTAGTACATTGCTCGGTAGAATTTTAACACGTAAGAGAGAAGGTGTGATCAGTGTATTGAATTCTTCCTCCCTTGAAAGCTCGATTAAAAATGTCACAAGTGACTAAAAATAGTCTATGGCATAAATTTGCTCCTCAGAGAGGTTAGTACTCTTACTAATAAAAGTTGGAGGAATTTACATTTTGTGTTTTTATTGAATTGATTTTAAACTCTTTACTGAATTAATCAAAGACTTGATTTAATAGGGTCAGCATACTTGAAAGAAATGTAAGGCCTAGTTAGTTGGTTAAGGTAATCTGACAAGTATTTTTTAAAAAATACTACAGCTTGCCCTTTAAGTGCACACTACTCAAAACTGTCACCAATGTTGTCACTTTGATGCTGGTCTTGCTTGATTAGGTAAAGCACTGAAAGTGGTCACTTTGTGCTCCAGTTAATTGAAAACATTCAGAAGTTCTTGGAAGAATGGAACATGTTACTGGGCAGAGACCTCGAGGTGTACTAGATTGTGAAGGGAGAGCGCTAACAGCATCAGTGTCCAGGTGTGGGCTAGCGGATGTGCCTGCTGCAGGGAGATAAGGGGCGGAGAGGGTGTGGCGTGCAAAGGCAGGAGGGAGGGACGGCACACATACTTGTTTTCTATACGAAGAAAACGAACGGTTTTGTTCAGAGGAGAAAGTGGCAGAGGGGTTTGGAAGCCACTCTTCTGCCCTCAGAATTCCTTACGCATCTCACGCCAATAATGCAAGTAATAAAGAGAGCCTAGATTGCAAGGTGGTCCTCACAGAGTCGGGATGGGCCCAGAGTGCACACCTGTCTCTGCTCTCCGCATCCCCACCTGCTGATTTCAGCCCTTTTCCCTGTCGTCAGGAACCTCTGCTCACAAGTCAGCATTAGGTCCTGAGTGTGGAGTCCCTCTTGTGGGCTGGGTCAGCTCTGGATGGGGTGTCTGGGTAGAACACCTCCAGTCCCGGTGCCCAAAATGCCATTGTTTTGTGTCATGTGCTTGTTCTTCCTGCCTGAATTCTAAGTGCTGGTGCAGACTCCAGGCGCAGCATACCGAGCCTGCATAGTTAGCGCCTGTGTTTCCTGCCTTAGCTCATGGGAATGTCCTCACAATGGACAGCCATTCTATAAACTGCTTTCCCCCCAAAAAATAAATAAATAAACAGTAACACCTGTGTTTTGCTCTCCTGCTGCTGTATGCTTTCCCTTTTCTGTCTGTTTTTCTGGTTTTCCACCTGTCACTTCCCTCACTGAAGTGCCTATTCTTAGAGCCTCCTTCCTCTTTTGCTCACACTCTATATGGTCCCCGTATCTCTTGCTCACTCTTTGTTACAGCATGTCACATTTTATTGATTGTCATTTACAAATCCCTAGAGCTCAGCACTATACCTGCCACTTCCCAGGCGTCCAGGAGGTGTTGCATGAGTGAGCTCACTCCAACGTGCTGAAATTCTGGGTCTAGTGGTTCTCTGAGCTGTTGGGCCTTGACTTTGAATCAGAGTGAATTTTATTAGAATGTTAAATGCTTATTAAACCACTTGTTTTTGATATTGAAATTTTTCTTTATAAGAGTTTTTGTTTGTGAAAGTTGATTATGCAGTGTTCATTAAAACAAATGCAGATAAAGATCATCATGTCACTTAGATGAGAGTATTACTATTAACATGTTGGTATACACTTTTCTAACTTTTCATTCACTTATTCATTCACTCATTCATTCATTCATTCATTCAGTACTGGAGATTGAACCCAGGAACTTTACACTGGGCTACCTTTTGTTATTTCTTAGTTTGAGACAGGGTCTAGTTATTTCCCAGGTTGGACTTGAACTTGATTCCTCTGGAAGGCTGCCTGAGGTTGTAGGTTTGTGCCACCACTCCTGGCTCTTCAACTTTTTTCTAATGCACATATCTGAATGTTGTAGTGAAGTTAGATGAGTCTTTTTTTTTTTTTTTGGTGGAACCAGGGATTGAACTCAGGCCCTTGCTCTTGCCAGGCAAGCGCTTGTTCTACTGAGCCATCTCCCTGGCCCCTAGATGAGCCTTATTCTTTATGTCCTGTAGAGAGCCTTCCCCGCTTACTACATCATAAACATAATCCCACATTCTTTAAAGCTTTCCATCACTGTGACTTTGCAGTGTTTTTAATACTGCATCTTAAAGACTCCACTTATTATTACTGTTATGATATCACATTGTGCCATAATAAGTAAAAATTCATAACTTAGCTAATAGATGCCCAACTTTCTTGAGATGTATTGAATCCAGCCTTTGCACTAGCTGTGTCCCTAGCCCTTTCTGATTTTGAGGTAGGGTCTTACTAGGTCACTGGGTTGCCCAGGTTGGGCTCCATCTTCCCATCCTCCGGCCTCAGCCTCCCAGAGTGCTGGGATTATAGCTGTATGCCACCCTGCCCAGCAGGATGCCAGCCTTTTAAAACATGCCTCCCTCTCTCTGTCCCTCCTGCTTCCCCAGTGCATGTGTGCATGTGTGTTCTTGAATGGAGGGAAATGTCCAGCTTAGCTTTTCCCTGTTGTTTAAAAAAATGCATTATTTGGAATTTAGTTTTGAGTTTTTAGATTTTTAATGAGTGATTAAGAATCATTTCTTTCCAAGTAGCTAAATTTTACAGCCTCCCTTACTCAGTGTTCACCTCTTCCTCATTGTATTGAGGTTTTACTCTTTATCACATAAAATTATGTATATTTTTAGTTTTTATAAACTATCTTTTGTGTCATTTAGAAGTATATTTTTGTGCCAGAGCCACATTATTTGAGCTGTTGTAACCCTAAAATTTAATATCATGGTAATACAATTTTTACCTTGCAATTTTACACCATTTTCTTCACTGTGGATACTGATATGGTTGCGAGATCCTGGCTTTTCTTCTTGGACAACCTGGACCTCTCTGACCCAAGGCCAAGCACTTAGCCCCTTAATTTTTTTTAGGCTTTTGTTCCCTTTCTGTTGAAAGGAGGGCAGTGCTGTTGAAAAGAGGGTAGCGTGACCTCTGCTGATTTTGGTGAGCCACAAATAATCTGTGTGACAGGTTAGAAGCGTGTTAAGTGCTCAGGAAATGATAGCTTATTGTCATCGTGTGAAAATTATAGGTTTGTCAGGTTGCAAAAAAATAGCCATTTGTAGTGAATTTGGAGAACACAAGCATGATTCACTTAACTTTTCCTGTTATATATCCCTCAGTAAAGATTTATACAGCTTATGAGCGTTACATATGGCCTTGTTTACTGTTGTATTTATGCATCCCATGTGATAATGAAATAAGAACTTAGGATTGTTTTCCAATTAGAGCTCTGTCACATGTTGGTGTGATGCCTCAGGATGTCTCGGAGCTTCCGCCTCCTGTCCATAAAATGAAAGTCTTCTTGCTTTCTTATGGGGTGGCTCGTGGGAACAAATGAAATATTGTATTATAATATATTTAAAAGTAAAGGAAAATAGAAAATGAAATATAAAATCTGTAGGGTCCAGATCTGTTCCCAGTAAGATCCCACAGTTTAGGCCAGAGTCTCTGATGGTGTCTGTGGCGGTGACAGGAAAAGGGTTTCTCACGGAGGAAAGGAGGTGTGGGCTGAGGGCAGAAAGCTCCAGCCAGCCCTGCTTTCTGGGTGTCCATTCTGAGGCCTCAGGGCAGAGGGCAGCAGACAGAGATAAGGCTTCTGCTGGGGTGAGTGTCAGGGCCAGCTACTTCGGCTGGCGGCTGGCGAGGCAGGAAGGGCCCTGAGCAGCACAGGGTGAAGGCCGGGGCTGGCTTGGCGGTGAGCTCCAGGTGGCTTGTTAGCAGGCCAGCACCAGGAGTCACCCCACTTCAGGTGGTGTGATGCTGTGTTGGGAGGAAAAGGACACGAGCCCTGCCAGGGCAGCACAGCTCTTTCGTGTCCATGGTAGGGAGGAAAGGCGCTGAAGCCTTGCCTGGAGGCCCCTGGGGAAGTGACTTGTGTTGGCACGGCTGTGTCTATATCTCCCCAGACAGGCATTGATTTTCCAAAATTGTAGATTTTAAAAATGTTTTAATGGAAAGAAATATTGCTAGAACACAATAATTTTTTATTTTTAACAGAAGAAAAAAAAAACCCAAAATGATACACAATTTAAAAACAAGGTGCTAGGAAATTAACAATGGTTATCATATTTTATATTGTTATCTTCAAGGTAGTTGTTCAGATTACCAGATATAGACATACAAAATTGATCAAACAATATAAGCACTAGCTGTTCCTTTTAATAAACTAAAAATTAGTACAATTATTTTTTCATCTATTTATCTAGCTTCCTTTTTTTCTTTTCTCCCATCCCAGTTGTTCTTTCCTTTTGAGAAGTTTATTTCCCTTTCATAGTATCTAGTGTCCGTTTTGGATCTTATTTACTCTTCCAGTTGTTTACACTAGGGAGACAATCCGATATTTACACAGGCAAGTCTGGTTTATTTTACTTGCAAGTATGGTCTCTAGTTGCATCCATTTACCTATATAAGCCTCAAGATATCCTTTAGAGCTGAGTAGTACTTCATTGTATAAAACTACTACATCATTTTTATCTACTTCTTGGTTCATGGGCATTTGAGGAAGATTTAGTTATGACAAATTGGAATCAAAAGGTAATTTGTCACAGCCACAATGCTAGCTCCTTTTCCTTTTGCTTTATTTTACAATACTGATAATTACATATGAATAAGTGCATTTTTCTAAGTGCTGTTTATTGAAATCATGTGTGTGTATATTTATAAATCACAGACTAAACCTGATGATACTGAAATCAGGGTTATATTAAAGTAGCCAGGCGAGAAAGACCTTTTAAATGTTAAAAATATATTGTATTGTTGCTACTTGGAATTTAGAAAGGTCAAATTATGATCTTAAAATATTCTGTGAATTAAAATAGCTCTGATTCTGATGGTGGGAAGCCTGTGGTAAAATGCCGTCTGTGGCTTTGTACCTAAGGACTGTCCCTGTTTTCCTCCTCTGCACAGGTCAAAGACTGTCCTGCGCCGCAGCTGGAGCAGCGCCACCACGGCGGGTGGCCTTGAGGGGAGTGTGAAGCTGCACGAGGGTTCACAGGTCCTACTCACGAGCTCGAATGAGATGGGTACCGTTAGGTACGTGGGCCCCACGGACTTTGCGTCAGGTATCTGGCTTGGACTGGAACTCCGGAGCGCCAAGGGGAGAAACGATGGTGCTGTGGGTGACAAGCGCTACTTCACCTGTAAGCCCAACTACGGAGTCTTGGTTCGACCGAGCAGAGTAACCTATCGGGGAATCAATGGGTCAAAGCTTGTGGATGATGGTTGTTGAGTTAAAATTGTAAAATATTCAGTGAGTGCTGTCTTGTGCACTCTGTCTCTCTCTTCTCTTCTCTTCTCTTCTCTTCTCTTCTCTTCTCTTCTCTTCTTTCTCTCTCTCTCTCTCTCTCTCTCTCTCTCTCTCTCTCTCTCTCTCTCTCTCATACACACACACATACATGGTATAAAATAGAGTCCATGGCAAATGGTTTAACCATTATTTAAAATTTGAAAATGCAGTATAGTTATCTCACAAAAACCACCAGTAACAGTTCAGAGAGATACCTTTAAAAGACCACAATTATGAACTCTGGGGATCATGGTTCTCTTGAAAACAATTTCAAAATAAGCAAGTTTTTAAAGCCTTGGAAAATTCTGGGACTTAAAAAAAAAGTGCCATTAGTTGATTAGCTGATGCATTACTTTGCTCATTGTGCTTCATGTTTGCACATAATGTATTTTTTATAGTGTCAAAAACGTAAGTTTTTTTTTTTTTTCTCCAGTCAGCTTTGGTGAACATAACGTTTCCATGACCTCGTTCTGTTGTTTTAAAATTTTTTCTTTAGTGTTTTATTGCTAATAGGCACTTTAAGAGCATAAGTAGGTACAATATTTTTAATATTTTTTGGTAAACTCACTTGCCATTTCGGGAATGGCTCATGTGAAGATACATTAGCATGTGGGAGGTAGATGTGTTTTGCGGTGTCTGGCTCTGCCTTTGGCCCAGGCTGATAACGCGGTGGAGCCTGTCTTAACCAGGGCCAATACCGACCGAGTCGGTTAGCAGAGCTAAGAGTGAATGTCTCCTGACCCAAGGCTCAGTGTTCTTTCCTCTACACCAAGTATCTAATCTGAGATTTGTCTTCTGCTGCTTACCTGCCTCATCTGTATTGTATGAACTACAGAAAGCCCCATGGTTAAGGTTTACAAATTCAAGCCAAATTTTTGCACGTACTTATTTAACTTCTTTATTGGACATATTTGTAACACACAGCACTTTCAAAACATGATGCACTTTTGTATTTGTGGAGAACTTGCCATTCTTTCCTTCTGGAATTTGAAGAACATTTTTTTAAAAAAGTGTATTTAACAGAAAAGAACAAATGAAGATGTGCTGGGAAGGGTGCGGTATTCACGTGTGTCGATGTGCGTGGTTTCTGGGTGTTTTGTTCTGCTGTTCGTGCGCGTGGTATTGTATCTGCCGCAGCTGATGCCCTGTGTTTCCAGGGGCTGCTGCTGCCAGCCTGCTGCAGAGCCACCTCGCAGGCCTGTTGTCATCACCCTTCTCGAACATTTGTTAAACCAAGTTCCACGACAGAGCGATAATGACATGCGTTTGTCTTGTGGAAATGTATTGAAGTTTCTGTCCTGTGTGTGTAAAGATTTATCTTCTGTTGTAAATATTTAGACTTTAACCACAGAACTAGTGGAAGAGTTTGCTTTATAAGACTAAAAGTATACTTCAGAATGGAGCTTGCTTTGTGCTTAGAAATATATGCTAAGCTATTTTGCAATATACTATTTTAAATCTACATTCTGTCACTCTGTTGCCTTTTTTTAAAATGTGGTATTTCAAATACTGCTGAAGTTATTTTCCTGAAGTACATTTGCCATATAAGGCTGCTTTATAATCAAGGAATATTTTTATTGATTGAAGAAAATGACTGTTCTACAATTAAAAAGTAAACTTATTTTATTATATAGATTATTTCTTAAAAGCTCTATTTATACCTTAACATGGAATCTATGACTCTACTGATCTTGAGTATCAATTCTTTCTTTTAAATATGAAATATTATAAGTTATAAGCAGTAATGCCAACTGAATTTATTTTGAGATCAAAGAACCAATTGTTCTTTTCATATTTAGATTAGGATTATTAAAGCCATATAGCACTTATGTTTCATATGCTATCCATACAAATCAGATGTTTTCATTTATGTTTTGCCTATTAAATGTTATTCAAAGTTCATTTCTGAGCATTAATAAAAAGGGAAGCTGTTTGGTTTGGAATGGTATCTTGTCATTTACCCTCTCTGCAACTTCTTTGCTGCATCGCTAGAGTCTTTGTGCTCTGAGCCTTTCCCCCCATAGTGACTGCTTAGCTTTGTCCCTTCCCTAGAAAAGACCTTATAGGGCAGCACGCTTTTTATTCAGGTACACTTTGTTTATCTTGAAGATGTGCTTCTGCAGTGTTTTAGTCCTCTTAACTTTCTTCTATACAGGCTGGATTTCATTTGCTTATTTAAGGTAGCCTCAAGCACTGAACTTTGTTACCTTTTCCACTAAAAGGTTTTGTTTATTATTTTAGAATTTTTTTAGGTAATAATTTTAATTCCCTAAAACTGTTGAAACACAGATGATTGCTGCATGTGGCCAAGATAAAGCCTTGCTTGAGCCCCTGCACCCTTCTTCCAAGCCTCCTTGTCTCCTCTTGATTTTCCTCCTTAGCACTTACCATGTTGGTCATGCTCAGTTTTTATTTTTTCTCCATTCTGTCACCAGGTCAAGGGATAGATTTTTTGGACTGTTTTGTCCACCTCTTTATCCCCACCCTTAGAAGAATACTTGGCACCCGGCGGATGCTTAGCAAGCAGAGGCGGCGAAGGCCATTTGGTGTGTAGCACAGATGCTGTCAGGCTGGTGGCAGAGAGATGACCTTGAGAACAGAGGCCTTGGGGCAGGGCAGGTTAGCTCGGTGCACATAACCAGAGAGGTTTGGATGCAGGAGCACAGCTTTACCCTGGAAGAGCAACAGGTAAGAAGTGGAAAGACGTCCGGTTGTATGCAGGGTAGAGCATGGGAAAACAGTAGTGTCACAGAGACAGGTCCCTGTGTCTGCTGGCGCGGACTTTGAATTTCTGTTTTACTATGAAGATACATTAGAGAATGTGGTCCTCCTATGGGTAGGAACAGAGTGGATCCTGGCCTAAGTGTGAAAGGCTCTCTCTTTGGGATTTGTGATAATATTATTTAAATCTGATTGACTAGTGGCTAAAAATCTAACATGTTAAGAATCATTCTTATTTGAGAAACATCTAGGAATTGTGATGTTTACTGGATATTTGTTATCTGACTGACTCCGAATAATACCCATCAACACATTGCAAGTTGGTAGACCTTTTAACATTTTTCTCTTCTTGCCCTTTGCTTCACTTCACTTATTTATAATCCAGGTACAGTAATTAATACAAAAGTCATGTTATCAGGTTTTGGTAATTGTTTAAGAACATCCCTTAGCACACTGGCCCTTGTTTAGAGTTACACCAGCTGCTTGGATATGCAGCAAGCATTCTGAAAAGAGCTGGTGAATAGCCTGACCAAGTACACTTAGAGGCTGTCTGGGGCTTTTACAACAGGGGCATGTGGTGCCTTTGCATATGCAAAACACTCTTTTTTACTGAAATTTTTGCTGCAAATGTTCCTTTTAATAGGAGGGGAAAATACATCTCATGGAACTGGAGTAGACGGCACATTAATACAGTTGTGTTATGTTGATGGAAACGAGGCTGTCTCAGTTTTATAGTGGTCCGTGAGGAGAGCAGCGGCAAGGCACATTTTCCCTGTTTTGAGAATGTCTTCTTAGGAATAGAATTTTCACAGTGGTAAATAGCAAGCCCCATCATTGCTGTACCTTTTGAACAAGATGCTGTTGAAGAAGGGCAGGGAGTTTTGAATGGGATAAAGATATATTAAATGTTTTAACGGAAGCTATTACCTTAAAGCATAACGTGTTCTCAATGACCACCAGTGTCATTTAAAAAATGCTGTTAAATTTAAACTCAGCTCTAAAATGCTGAATGACTGCACTTATTTGAGTCTGTTTCTACACACTTAGCTGTATGCACACATACCCTGGGAGACATCTTTGTCAGGAAAAATGTGGTCCCAGAACTGGGTGTTTTATCAGATTGTTTCAGATGGCTAAATGAAATTGAACAGGGAATTTCAGAAATATCTACCCGGCACTGAACTTGGATTTTGGGAATTTCTAAAGCGTTGAATTTTAAACATCCAAATACTGTGTAGTCCTTGACCTGGGTCAGACTTGCAGGGGTTAAGTTCTTTCAGTTCCAGCCTAAAGAGTTCTGTGTGACTTTACTTGAAGTGGATTTGACTCATTGGAGGCTGAACTGATTACTCTTCTACACATAACAAATCGGATTGTAGTGGTATGGAGTGGAACCATGTTAAACACAGCTTCACACCATCCCTTCTATTTTCTGTAATTTGACTTCTGAGGCTGATCTTAAAAGTCAGTCAACAGTGTTGATGACATTGGCTGTCCCTTCCAATTCTTGTTGTGAAGGATAGGTGTTACCGTCTAGTGTCTTGGAGGAGGGAAAACCCCTCCAAATTGGACTTTAAAATGATTTTTAATGGCCATAGCAAATCTCATATTGATGGCAGAGGAAGCAAATTTTGCTGTATCGAGCAAGTATGTGTTGAACATTATGGATCAGAAGAGCTAAGTAAAAGATACGATCGTTTTGAACCTGCTAGTGCAAATGGCTTTCTGATGAGAGTTCCAACAGATTATATTTGGTAAAAATATGGGGATGTGCCCCAATGATCTTTTCAGTTTCTTAGAGGAAATGGTTTTACTGTATTTTTTTGGTCAAATTGTTTTTTAGGGGAGGTTTATTTTTTGTTTTTGGTGCCGAGGACCAAACCCAGGGCTTCCAGCTTGCTAGGCAAGCATTCTAGCGCTGAGCCAAATCCCCAGCTCCCTCTTAGAGGAAGTGGAGCTGAGGGAATTTAAGAAATAGTCCAGGTGCCTAGAGCCTCACTTCACAGTCCCTGGTGGCTAAAGGGAAATTCAGTGTTCTTCTAAGTTCTACTTAGTTTCTTATCCTTTATAAAACATCACCAGCTGCTTATTGGTATGTACACAAGGCAAACGAATTCCTGTCTTTAAAAGTATTTCTTTTGAGAACTGTGAACTACTTCATAAATTTTCTTTTGGGAACATTGTAAAAAGATTTAAGTTACTGTTTTTCTCAATGATTAGGTGAAATAAAATGATAGCTATTTGCTGTAGCCTTCAAGCCTTATCTTTGAGGGACATATGAGTTGCCTGTCCTTTTGGGTTCCCCATTCCTGGATCCACTATGAAGATCCCTTATTCACAACAGCTTTCCCCAAATTGCCATCCAATGGTGGTGGATATCTCTGTACCCCTGGAAAGAGTGGTGCTCTCAGTGTCAGTGGTAATTGGAGGGAGAACTATTCCATGTCCAGAAGATTGCAGCAGCTTCAATCCTTGGTTCCGAAAAAAAAAAAAAAAAAAAAAAGATTGCAGCTAGACACACCTGTTGAGCAACACCAGAACCACACACTTCTCCATCTCAAACACTGTGGACTTTGCCAGCTCGCTTTGCAGGTGGGCATCCCATCCAAGTGTAGATCAGTGGGCAAGGGGATCAGGTGTCTCATCAGTTATCCACGGTGGCTAAGGATAAACTTCCAAAGATAGGTTTTAGAGTTTTATTTTGCTAAGAAGGCTGCACCTAAGAGAGAAATAGTGTGACACTGAAGACGTTAAGATCGTCAAAGAGACTTAGCTTCCTTCAGGAAGCCATTCCGATTGACTTCATTTTGCTCTGGTAATGATATGATTGCTTAAGGAAGTCAGCATAGCACAGGAGCCGGAGGACTCACGTTAAATGCTCTGATCTATGTTCAGAGCATAGCACGTGGCTAACTAGCATGGTGCTCTAAATTTATTGGCTTAGGCTCTTAATGAGTTAAGATTCAGGGGCAAGGACACACACACACACACACACACACACACACACACACACACACACAGCAACGTCCAACTGCCTGTGTTTGTCAGGTGTTGGGGTTTACTTAACACAGAATCACAGACTTGAGAGTTGGAAGGGGTCTTTGAAATCATAGCTTTCATTTTTTTTTAAATATAAGAAAATAGGGCTGGGGAGATGGCTCAGTAGAATAAGTGCTTCCCTGGCAAGTGCAAGGGCCTGAGTTCAATCCCTGATTCCACACACACACACACACACACACAAAAAAAAAAAAAAAAAAAAAGAATTGGAGGAGCTCTACTGAGCAGCCTACTTAAAATAAATAAATAAATAAATAAATAAAGTATGTTTCAGTGACTTGACTGAGTCCTGTGGGCAGGACACTGCGGTCTAGTTTCTTGTCTGCTTGCTAACTGATGGATGAGTACTAAATCCTCTAAGATGACCTCGTCTCCTGAAATCTTACCAGCCCGATACTTGTGTATATGGCAAACAGTGCCTCATAAAACACAAACATTCTAGATAGAATAGCTGAAGCTTAGTGTAAGTTACTGTTGTAAGAGTGCTTCTCAACTGATGCCTGCTGAGATGAGCCTAGAGAGGGATGGTTAGGTTAGTGGTGGAGGGAAAGATGATTGTGAGTGACTAAGTACAAGGGGTCAGTAGGCCCGACACGGGGGTTGCCTGCAGGGAGAGCGGAGGGTGCATCAGAGAGGGATGTGAGAAGTGCATATGGGAAGTCACCACAAACACACACAGGCACTTGTAGTGTTTGAGCTTAGATTGTCACTGTGGTGTTGCGAGGGCAGCACACTTGTTCTACAAACACTGAATGCTGAAAAGATAGTTGTCACTTTTATAGCTCATTTCGCCGCACCTTTCCCCGCTAATTATGTTTAATAGTCCGATCCTCTCAAACTTTTCATGTTTCAGCCTTGCTAAGCTAGAACAATAGCTTTGCACTTTAGGAGTGCATTAAAAATTAAAGATACCTGCTCAGGATAGCAAATGAAAACGGCATCTTAATAGCAGCCTTTCTGTTTGTTCTCAGCCCTCCTCTCATTTTAGGGACTTGCGAATGCTGGTTTGGTTTTGTGTGTTCACATGACACGGGGAACCATCTGCTGCAATGAAATTAGCAAAGTCAAATTTTGGATTCTTTAGGGACTCATTTAAAAAATCATTAACAAAAGACAGATTGACACTACCACGCTTCAAACAATCTTACAACTCTAGTTGTGGGAA